CTGATTGATATTATATCCATATGATGGAACTTCAGAAAAACTGGTGAACTGAAACACTTAGGGAAATTCCATCAAATATTTCCAATATCCATTAAAATCTCCCCCGCCACATATGCTATTTCCACAAGAGAGATATTAACCAGAAGAATTTTTCCATTCACCATGTATGATAATTCTTGGTTTTGTGTTAAAAATAAAGAAATGTATTTTAAAATTTGCCTATCTGTACTAATAAATGGCTGTACTCAAGAAATGATGTTAATTAATACCATGCTAACTGAATGTTAGAACAGTAACTCATTTTAAAATATGGATGTCATTTCTCTTACAAAAAATACAAAGAATTAGCTTAGCAGTGGTATTGGTCTTTACTGAAGTGTGTTGAAAAGAAAGAGAAATGTAATCTGAAATAATAGCTGCAGGGACCTCACATCGTAAAGCAATAGAAACTCAATGTATGGGGAGCAGATAGCTCATATTTACTTTTAGCAATTTACATTTTAATGCCTAATAAAATAGATAGCTACCATGCATTTTTGGGGGAAAATAGGTCCTTTTCCTAGGGAATCAAAATAAACTTTTAACAGTATTCCAAAGAATCAAAAGAATTTCATATGAATTTTCCATATCTACATCCCATTGAGATAAAAATATCACTAAGCTCCTTCTTCCTATTTTATTTTTTATAAAACACTTCCATTGTTGATGAAGGAATGATAATTTAATTACATCATATATGAAGACCATTTTATATGACAAATATTAACTCACTACCTGAGATGTACATATTAACTATTACTCCTATTTTGATATTTAATCTCTCAGTGTGTGAATGACTACTATGTCTTTTTTGTTGAAACATATTTCAAATTTTTACAACTTAGATTTATCAATAATTTGTTTTGTTAGGGTTTTCAATTCAGGCAACATTGTTAGAATGTTACTGTCTTCTACAACATGCTGAAAATACTCATCCAAGTTTTCCTCATATTTTTATTACTTTTGAAACACTTTTTATTTGTTTGATTTGCTTTAGTAAAATTAATATTACCAGGGTATTATTCTAAGGTTTACTCAACTCGATACTCAGGTGTCTTACTGTTGTTTGATAAATAATATCTCTTTTCCCCTATTATTTTGAATGTCCGCAATAATTATAAATTCAGTATATTGATCTGCTTATTCTTGAACTCCCTTTCCCAATCTGCTGGTTTCCTCTGAGTTATGGCAGCAGAATTATGGTGTTTTAATAATTGTAGCTTTACATTTTCTTCAGTAACTGCCAACAATTCCTTACGCAAATTTTGAATAGAAATCTGCAACCATTTGTCCTACATTTATCAAGTGCTTTTCTCAGAATACTGAAAACTTAAGGGAAGTTGAAGGAACTTATAGATATTTTATTATGTCACAACCCAAGTTTGGCAGTCATAAAAGCACCATGGCACATGTATGCATGGTTTTCTATTGCAGTCATTCTACAGGTATATATATATATAGTCCCCTGCTCAAAATTTAGTTCAGATACCATACACACACACACACACACACACACACACACACCAAGAGCAAGAGAATATGAAAGTATTCATTACCTACTTATGTTACTCAAGAAAACGGTTTCTCAAGAAGCTGGTTGTGATAGAGGAAGGATATTTTGGATAATTAAAATTGAATAACATAACCATACAGATAAAAGGATAAGTAATAAAGAGATGAAGTAGTATGCTGCTATTTATTGATTACACTGCATGTGACAATGCTATTTTACACCATGTACATAAATTATCTTTTTAGGGGGCCAAGGCTTTCTTTCAGTGACACAAGTACCTGCCTGGCAAGCACAAGATCCTAAGTTTGATCCCTAGTACCAAATAAGTAATTAAATGAATAATCTCTTTAATCCTCCAACATTAACATAATACATGAATTTCTAGTTCCATTTTATTGATAAAAATGGAAGCGTTAGGCTGATTGAGGAATTTTCCACATCCTTCAGGTGATAAATTTTGGCTTTGAACTTAGTTCCTATTTCCATGCTCTTTAAATTCTATGATCCAGTACTTCAGGAACATAAGCATTTTTCTTATTTAGGAAATACCATGCAAAGTGCAAACATATCACTGTCTGATAGAGAAACAATGTGAAATATATGGATAATTTCATGTAACACTACATTTTCAAGGCCCAGGCAGTGACTAAGCTAACTGAAATGGACTTGAGCCACCATCCAGAAGAAAAAGACTATGAAGATATGAAATGTAAATACACTGTGAAATCCTAGGTTGTATGCTTAGACCAGGAAGAAAAAAAACATTAGTAGAATAAATAATGAAATTCCAAACAATCTGTTATTTTGTATTAGACCAATGTTAATTTCTTAGTTGCACAATGATTAATGCAAGGTGTTAAAACAAATGGAAACTGCATAATTGAGTGTGAAGAGTAGGGTGAACTGTAAGCTTTAATGACATGGGGGGCTAGTGGCACAGGGCATTATCTTTCCTTGGCACCAGGAAACTTCTTTGGTTCAGCTATGGTGTGTGAGCATTGACACTGGGGATACTCAGCATCCACGAGGATTTCCAGCCCACTGTGCAAAGCTTGTGCGTTTAAATTGCAGGCTTAGCAAGCCCTCATCAAGCTGTAGTTAAGCCACAAAACACCTGTTCTGCAAAGGAATGTTTAGGGGCTTTTACACAGGGGTTAAACTCAAACAAAGACCAGGTTTAAATAATCTTCTGTTCCATTTTTTCCAAAATTTAAATAAACTGTATATAGAAATCATAATAAATGTACTATTTTAGGGTTTCCACAAAATATTTACTTTAAATATTTAAACAACACCATCTATAGAATGTGCTTTTCACCCAAAATAAGCACCAGCTCATTTGACAGCTGTTAGTGGATAAAAGGACTGAAGAGTAAGAATTCACATCAAACAGGTTAAATCCCATCCTTTAATTGTAAAGTTAGAATGACGCAGTCGTTGGTCATTAGTGCTTCATTATTGGGAGTGTAGATCTACTCTTTTGTTGTTTAGAGTATATAAATGTTTATGTAGAAAACCTGCAAGGTATGGATATTGCTCCTTAGTTCAAAACACATTGATAATTATGGGTAGATAACAAGGATCTTTGAGAAATTTCAAGCTAAATACTTATTTCAGGATGCCTTATAAACAATTAACATGTTATATTTTTGTCAAAGCTTTATTTGTTCACTGGAAAATGTACACTACATCACAGAATACATATTTAAGCCCTTGCCAGTTATGGAACTCTAGTACCTAATTTGTCGTTGGCTAAAACACTTCCTAAAAATCTCGACTGATGATGCTTCTAAGATTCATGTGTGCTGCAAGGTATTTTCATTTTAATCCTTAACTAGATTTGATAAATTTTTTTGCCTGGAACACAACTGTCTTTGACTAAACCATTGTCTGAAGTTCTGTCAAATTATATTAAAAATCCAAATCTAAAGGAATCACAGTTAGATATAAAAATCTTAAGTGATCAGTCTTAAATATAGATCTAGCACTTATTTTTATAAATGAAAAGAGTGAGGTACAAATATATTAAATTACTTGGCCAATTTTACACAATCAAGTTGTGATATAGCTGAGTTTAACATTCAGAGTTACCCAGGACTACTTTACTCATCTATGAAACATCCTTTATTTCTTAATCCTTCAATATGTCAGACACTTATTCTGCATGTCCTTGATTAATGGGAGAGAAGAGGAAAGATATCTCATGTTTTTATACATTGTAACATATTTTTCACAAATACTGAAATATCAGACAATGCATCTTTTGGAAATGTCCATTTATGAATATTTTCTCCAAAAACATAAATAACAATTTTCCAAATACATAGCTGCGATTGTGGAAGATGGTTCTGACCATAAAATAGAAAAAAAAGGTTAAAAAATATAAAGCTAATCTCCCTATTTGAGATTAATCCAAGTTCATTTGAACTGTTCTTTTCAGAATATTTAAATGTGAGTTGTTTAGTAACTGATCATTTGTGTAAAACTCCATGAAAATCTTACAAATACTGTTTTATGTTTTCACGTTGATGGTAACAACTATGAGAAACTATGAAAAATTTTCCTTTTTTCCCTAAAAATAAAGAATTTCACATCTAAACTGAAAATCAAAAAGCTTCTGGTTAATGTCACTGATAGTTTCTATAGAAAAGCTAAACTTTACTTAAGATGTAATAAATACTGATGATGACAATAATAGGAAAAAATAAACTTGTGTGCTATGTTGCTAAGCACTTCATAATTATTATTGCAAACAATAATCTCTATATTTAAGAATCCATTATTTTCTCAATTCTGTGATAAAATAATGAGTTCCAGAAATTTTGCATGGCTTTTGGTAGATCCTGGCTATAGAAGCAGGGAAGCTGTTTCCAGATTTCAGTTTTCATCTGTAGATTCTCTCCTCACAGCATGTATTCCCTACCAGTCTTGTTTTAACTCTAGGCTTTTGCACAGCACCTTACAAAGAAGCTCAATAAATGTTACCTAAGATAGATGCACAGCCACAATTACTTATGTCCTGAGCTAAACAAGCACCTCACTTTGCAGGCAGGTGTAACTCAGCTAAATTCAAGAACTCTGACTTCTTCCATGCACCTGAGAAAAACAGTCCAAGTGCCTTTGATGACTGAGTTCCTACACGTCTCCCAGATAGTGTATTTGACCTGAAAATCTGAGAACTAAAGCAGTGAAGCATGATGGGCATAGTTTGGTTATAACTTCCTTGTATGGAAAGTTCCCATGGTTTCAAGACATACCATTAAATTGCTCTCCAATTGACTGTTTTAGTTAGAAATCTCTTCATTTCACTACGTCCTTCCATACCCACGCCACAGGATATTAAAAGGCTCTGTTCTTGGCCGGGCCCCGCAGTAGATCCCACTTTAACATCAGAATGCAATTAACTTATTCTGCTCCTGTGAAGGGAGCAGCCTGCTGGGAGTTTTAAACAAATTCATAAATTTGTTGGTTAGGAAAGGGAATTTGCCAGCTTCCTCTGTATATTTTTTTCCTGCATACTACACGCCCATAGAGCTATATCTTTGTGTAATGGCTGAAGAGAGGAAGGATAATGGCCAGCTGCTCTGGACAGGAGTGGAGCGAGAGGGGCCTACCTCCAGCGTGCAGCTATGAGGTTCTTTATAGTAAAGAATTTGCTTCTCAGTAAAGCTCTTTATTCTTTGCAACAGGTTGGTGAGAAATACAAGAAACTAGTGATAGGTAAGGAAACGGTCATTTTTTTCTTTTTTGCTAGAGTATCAGACAAAAATAAGTGTTTTCCAATACAAACAATGTTAACTTTTCCCTCTTTATACATCAGTAGTTCTCCAGGGAAGCACGGAGACAAGATGGGATCCTTCAGGGACTCTATGAAACCCCAAGTGCAGTTAGATGTGGTGGTACCTGCCTCTGATATTAGCACTCTGGATGCATTTTATTCATTTTTAAGAATTAATAATATTCTATTGTGCATGCATATGAGATAATTATAGATTTACATACAGTTTCAAGAAACAATGCAAAAGTATCCCACATAGCCTTTCCCCATGTGCCCCAAAGTTAACATCTTGCATTATTCTAGTAAAATTTTAAAACCAGGGTCAGGGATATAGTTTCTAGGCATAAGTGCCTGTCTGGCAAGCACAAGGTCCTGAGTCAATTCCCGCTACCAAATATACATGTGTGTGTGTGTGTGTGTGTGTGTGTGTGTGTGTGTATATATATATATATATATATATATATATATATATATATATACAACCGGCAATTTAAGGATTTAATGTTATTGTAAACCACTGACTTTAATCACCTTTTGCTATTGTATTTAGATGGTTGTTTATGTGTATGTGTGTATGTGTGTGCTTGTGCACACAAGAAGGTACATGCATATTTAGCTCCTTGTACTTTTATCACATGTGAAGTTTTCTTATGCCATACTTACCTATGTCCTCATTTTAGTAAACTCTGATAATCATTAATGTGCTCGGCATCTCTGTAATCTCATTAAGTCAAGAATGCTACAGAAATTGGAAGCAGACAACATATCACAACTTGAGATTAGTACTTTTCATTCAGCATAATTCCCTGAAGAATCATTCAAGGTGTTGAATTTTTTTCTAGGATTATCCTGCAGTATGAAAGTACTGCAATTTGCTTAATCATTTACCTGGTTAAAAATATTTGGAATGTTGCTGATGGGCTATTAAGAATAAGTTGCTATGAATACTGGCCTACTAGTATTTACATGAATATGTTTTCCTTTCTCTGAGACAATAGCCTAGAAATTCAACTATTGACTTCTTTAGTAATTGTATGATGAATTTTATTTTAAAAATATTTCATTATTGTCAACAAACTATTATTTGACATTCTTACCAGAAATGTGATTTAGTTTTACACTGTCCTTGCTTGTATTTAGGTTTTATTTCTTCTTTTCTTTTCTTTTTCCTTTGTATTGGAAATTGAACCCAAGAACTTGTATTTGCCAGGCAGGCACTTATGCTGCTGAGCTATATCCCCAACCCTGGTTTCTTACTTTTTAAATTTTATCAATTTTTATATGTCTGAAGAGATACCATGCTGTGCATCAAACTGCATTTTCCAAATGACCAATAATGTTCAATATCTTTGTGCTTAGTTGTATGTGTAGATTTTTATGACAATGAAATATATGATTTATCATTTTTTCTATTTTCTTACTTAACTTTTTAAATTTTGAGGTTTTTTTTTTATTAATGGTTTGAGTCCTTTGTCAGATAGTGTGCCAATATTTTTCCCAGTCTACAGATTCTCAATTATCATTCAAATGTATTTTTGTAAAAGAGAAGTTTTTAATTTCACAAAGTTTAGTTTACACACACACACGCATATATATATATATATATATCACACACACGCATATATATATATTTATGTATATATGTATATATTTATGTATATATATATATTTATGTATATATATATATATATATATATATATATGCGTGTGTGTGTGTGTTTAGTGTACTTGTAATTTAGGTCTAAGACTGTTCAATATTTTCTACTTTTTTTTTAGCCAAGGTTGGTGACCAGATACCATTATCTCAGCACTTACGACCTTGAGGCAAAAGGATCACTGTGAGTTCAAGGCCATCCTGAATTACATGGTGAGACCATGTCTTAAAACAAAACAAAAGAAATATCGTTTTACCTACTACGATGACTTCTGTGGTCCATTTTGAGTTACTGTTTGTGTAATTTAAGAAATTTAGGCAGAAATTCTTTTTTCCTTTGGCCCATAGATGCCAACATGTTCCAGCAACTACAATGAAAAATTTTTCCTTGGAATGTTTTGGTTTTATACTGGCACATAGAGTACTTAGACGTTTTTACTTCGTACTTAAAACAAGAAAAGAAAAACCCTGAATAATATAAATATCTCTATATCTATAGATTTGATAGTTTACATGAAGTGAACTAATTCCCTCAAAGATATTATCTAACAAAGCATACTATAACCAATTTGGATTTATTACTAGAATGCAAGGTTATTTTAGCATTTAGTGTGAAGTGTCAAATTGAGTGGATTTAGGAATTCCCCAAAGGATTGATGGAGCACTCTTCTGGTTGCATTTACGAGGATTACTGAAACATGACCTTGGGGTCTGTATCTGATCCTTTATCATTTCCACTATGGCACTGTTTTCCGTTCTTTTCCCAACAGCATATACTGACAGCCTTTGCTATACCTACTCCCTTCTGCCATGATGTTCTTCCTTGGAAACAGTCTACCATGGACTGAATTCCTAGAACCATGAGGCAAATTAAACTGCCCCTCCTTTAAGTCATAGGCATTAAACATTGTAGTGTATTTCTCAGTGATGTGAGATCTGATCTCTGCAATTATTTTCACCAGTACCATAGTCTTCTGATTTCTATAGATTAACTGCAATCATCACTACTGAGTAGAAGGATTTCTCACACTTTTTTCTTTCTAAATACTATTTTTGATTCTTTTTAAGTTATGTAGTTTTCAAGGTAATACTATTAGTCTGTCTATGTCTAGATTTTCCCTGAAATTCTCATATGAATTGCATCAAATGTATGATTGAATTTAGAAAGACATAGTATTTTACTACTTTGAGTTTTCCAATTCACAAATGTACTGTCTTGCAATTTATTTAAGTTACCTTTGATTTTTTCACCAGAATTTTATAAATGTTAGTATGTTAAGCATGTGTATGTTCTAAAGTTATAACAATGTATTTTATTTTCTTCAGAATGATAGTAAGTCTTTTAGTACCCTTAATTTTTTCTATTTATTTTTATTACTACTTAGTCCTTTACTTTTATTTGTTGGTTTTTATATTGTTACTTAACTTAGCCCATTTATTATTTCTAGAGATTTGTCCTGTTTGTTTAATTATGAGGATTTTTATTTTTTATCTTCAGTTGATCCTGGATTTTCAACATGATCAATGAAATGATACATTGTGACTGTTTTATGTCTTTATTTTTAATATTATGCATCCTCATTTCACTGTGCCTTGAATAGAATGCTCATTAATATGCTGAATAAAATCATACAACCCAATATCTTTGCCTTTTCTTCATACTTAGGGAGAGAATACATTCAGTCTCACACCATCAAATATATGGTTGGTAGTAGGATTTTTTGTTAGATAGTATTTATCAAGTTAGGATATTGCTCTTTTTTCTAGTTTGCTAAGATATTTTAATATGAATAAAATTGAATGTTTTTACATCTTTGTCTGCATTAATTAATATGAGCATATACATTTTTTTATTTGGCTTGTTGATATGGTAAATTACACTGTTTAAATATTGAATCAAAGTTGCATATTTGGAATAAATTCAACTTGATCATGGGTATAAATATTTATATATTTCTGAATTTGATTTGGTTAGATATTGTATATATTTCTGGATTTGATTTAGTAAGATAATGCTGCTTCCATCTATATTCATGAGGGCTATTGGTTATAATTTTCTCCTTTTTTTCACTCTTCTGATTTTGGTTTCAGGACAAAACTTGCTTCAAAAATGCATTAAAATATATTTTTACATCTTCTACTTTCTGGAAGAATTAGTATAAAACCTTTTTCTATTTTTCCTCTAAATGTTTGATGGAATTGTTCAGTTAAACCATCTGAGCTTGGTTTTATTATTAACAATTTTCTTTTAGGAATTTTATTTTTTAATTGTTATAATTTCATCTCTGATGTATTACTTCTAAGTTTTTGAATTTATGAGTATAAAGCCTTTCATAGTATTGCTCTATTGTTCTGTTAATGGCTTCAGGATGTATAATGGTATCCTATTTTTCTTTCTGATAGTAGTGATTTATGTCTCCTCCCTTTTTGTCTGTCAAGCCTTAGGTCCAACCCCATTTACCTTATCTAGTTGTGTTACATGTGAAATATTTGATCTGCTTTCCTTTATATGTTTCTCCTTCAACTTGGGTTCTGTATTTCAGATGTAAGGGAGATCTCTACGACTCAAATAACATCTTGATCAAGTCTAACTTCTGTTCATCATTCTTCAATGTTCAACAGTTCTGCATGCAAATTATTTAAACTTAGAAAAGCTTCCATGATTTACTTTCAGTTGAACTTATAGCTTACTACATAGTTTGATTCCCGGTATTCTGATCAGATAAGTGTACTTAACCTCTGAACACAGGTGTGTTTTTGCATATGTTCTAAGTGTTAACCAATGCTACTACATACATAAACACTCAGCTTAATATACGTTTATTTCAACTGTTAGATTTTTTTTTTACATTCTTCTCTTAGAGAAATGCTCTCTTGTCAATGTGAATACTTTTTTATAAAATTGGATGGAAGAATAAGTGCATAAATGAACACAATTCATGAATTTTCTCCATGCTCATAAAAATAGGCACTCATTTACATTATACTCTAAAATAGACACTCATTTACTAAATGATTGCTGAATAAATGAATATCCCCTCTGTGTGCATAAAAGATCGTGGGCTGCAATGTACCCTCTAAGACATTTTTATGGTTTGTCTTGAGGATTTAAGTAGATGGTATTTGACATTTTTGTAATTTAATAATAATTCCGCTATACTTTCTTTTGAAATTGTGTTTCATATGCAAAGTACACAATTTCTCTTCATATAAACCTCTGACCACTCCTTCTACCTCAGAGGGGCATATCATCATATTTTTGTCTTATCAAATCAATGTAATTTATTTACTTAAACAAGACCTGAGACTAGAACCTTACAATGCTTAAGTGGAATATTTGACAGTCAGTCTTCTTTTTCTTATATGTTACCCAGCTGAGCGTTTCTTCATCTGCCAGTAACTTATATATAATGACAATAATCTCCTTCCAAATTCAGACTAGATGTTCTCCTAGGAGAAAAAAAGATTTCTTAGCCTTGGGTAATCCATGGCAGACACTAATGTGTCCACAGGTAGATAATGTGAAATATTACAAAAGTAAGGAACTGACCCTTGTGAGGGATTCAATTTTTTGTTTTGTTTTTTTATTTTGTTGTGTTTTACTCTGTTTGTTTTGTTTTGAGGCAAGGTGTCACTCCGTAGTTTAGGCTGGCCTTGAACTCACTATGGAGTCCAGATTGACCTTGAACCAGCAGTGATTGTCCTGACTCAGTTTCCCAAGTGCTGGGATTGCAGTTGATTTGAATACAGAGTACCCTCAATTAAATTATCACAGTAGCCACATATACTCACAAATCAAGCTTTTACACCGATGCTAATTAAATTTTCTTCAAGAATTCAAACTGTTTATTTCCTAGACTTCATATCTTCCAAATAATAAACCAATCATTTGTTTCTCATCTTTACCTTCTGGGTATCTTAAAAGAGATTATATCTTAAGAAACATGCTGGCACACATATCTGAAAATATTTCATGTTATGTTTGTGGCTAGAATCTGTTCAGCAGCAAAAGTGCAAAAAGCCATTGGGTGCAATTCTCAGAAGATCCTGCAATGTCTTCCTGGGTTCCCTCTTTCCTTTCAGAAATCAGATTCATGAAAGAAAATATAATCTCTCCATTTTCAAATGGGGACACCAATATTTTTCATATTTTGGTTTTGGCAGGATTTACAAGCAAGAACTAAACCACTTGCAGGTGAGTGTGGATAATCCTGTCTCCATCCATGTGAAGATGAAGGAAAACGTGGTCCCTTCCCCTTACTCTAACGAGGAGGCTCTGCCTCTCGAAACAGCTTTGGCAGAGGTTGTGCAGCAGCTGCCATGGAGGTAATGCTACCAGTTCCGTGGCTGGACAATTTAGATCATGGATGATTGAAAACTGTGCTTTCTTTTTCTTGTATCTCTACCCTTGTAGTAATATGCAGCTAATAAAGCGAACAGGGTAGAACCGAATGAAGATTAGGACATGCCTCAAAAAACCAGCTTGATGACTAATTCATCCTAATTAAAAACTGAACTCACTTCTACCACATGTAAAAATACTGGCAACTAAAATGAATATGGATGCTACATAAATGCTGAGCTATTGTGTCACATTCATTCTCTTTGTCCAATGAAACCACAAAATTTTGTTGTTTTCATTTTTATTTTTACTTTATTTTTCTTTGCAGTCACTAACCGAGTAGTCTTGATTTATTAAGCTATAATTGTGTGAGAACATTATGAATTGTATAGATGTTCATGTTTTAAAAGCTTTCCATTCTCTTGTTTCTCATAAGCATATAAAAACAAATTAGTCAAATTTTTTATTTTTTTGTCGGTGAAAATTTAGAGAAGGTAAATAATGTGAAAATTATTCTTTTTTCATGAGTTTGATTTAGTAATGATACCAATTTCCTTTGTATTATGCTTCCTTAATTTTCTGCTATTCTATACCAAGTCTATTTGTGTATAGGTTTGGCATTTTAAGGTTGAGAAGAAAAACTATTATGTATAATGTAAGCTTCTCATTTTTAAAATTTCAAAAAGATACACACGCACATACATATATGTCTCACTTCTTTTTTGATTATGAAGCATCTGCTATGAATTTTGTTAGATTTATTTTGAGATATTTTGAATTTTTCTATTAGTTATGGAGTTTGTTTACTTTAATTTGTTTGCATTGATATTTAACTCCTGACTTTATTACTGGCCAACTCAGCATAAATTCTGTTGTTTTAGAGAAGGCTGACCTGACTCATACATAATATGAAAATATGAAATCATTATAGAGCTTAGAACTGGAAAAAGGCATTGAAAATTACATATCAAGTTGCAAGTTGTTATACCAATTAAACATTTCAGGACCAGATAAATAAAATGAATCCAAATTACCTGAAATTTCAAAAAAATGTGGCTCCTGGAAAACTCATTCAACAACTGTTTTCTTTTATCTATTTTGTCTAAAACAATCAAAAACATAAAACTTAAATGCACAAAAATAATAAGAACATAATATTTTGCTTTGTACAAATTCCCCATGAATGCTTTGAACAAAGTATTCAGTTTTCTAGGGGGACATTAGTCTCTATCAGTTTTAATTCCCTTAGTTTCACTTCTTTAGTAGACAAAAACTTACTTTGCTGTTAGAAAGATTCTTGCCAAGGTGCAAGAATCCTTTTACTCTTTAGTATAATTGAGGTAAGTGTGATTTATTTTAAAAGAAACTCTTAGAAAGAAAAGAAAAATTGGCGCAAAAATACAGCTGCATGTGGATTTATACAGAGCTTATTTCTTACAGTAAGGAACATCTAAACTCATGTTGTCTTGTAGGACATCATGTATGCAGTTCCTGGCCTTGAGTTTTTCTGTGTTCTAAGTTTGCTCAGAACTAACTATTTCTAGGGCGAGCTCCTCTTTCTTACTACTTGAAGGAATTTAGAGTTCTGGCATGGACTTCAAACTTCGTGTTTTCAGACTTCCATGGGTTACAAATGTGTTTAAATATTCTAATATTATTACCACGATGGCTGGTGTGGTGGGGAAACTCAACTCCAGGAGGGTTTCCTACTACAGCTTCAAAACAATTCATTCTGGTTCAGGTGTTAACAGCAAACCCAAAAGTCAACATAAAAGTTTTTTTTTTTTTTTTTTCCTTTTCCTATGTGGCATTCCAGGCTGTTCCCATCATCCTGACTTCAGGATTGGTCTAATTTTCTGAATCAGTTCTTATCCACCTACTGACTGGTGTCAGAGACCTAAATAATTATTCACAACCATTCTGTCCTCTGAGAACAGATACATGAGTTATGTTTCGACTTGGTTTCTATATAAACTTGTGACCTTGTGTCATTTCAACTACCTGGGTGTAAGATGTCTCAATGGTAAAATGAATCCTGGGAACTGGAACTTGGAACAATTTAAGGCTTTTCCAATTTTAGGATCCAATTTTAGGATAATAATCTTTTATTATCACATTATCTAAATCAAAGGGAGCTATATAACAACTTGATTCTTCTATGTCAGAGGTTTGGAATATTTTGTTAATACTTTGCCAGTTTACAAACCAGATTCTATTTAACAACTTTCATGAAGCAAGAAATAATTACTTCATAGTGAAAATCATGCACTTTTAATTTTCTTTTCTTGTGATAGTAAAGACTGAACTCAAGGCATTTCACGGAACACATTTTCAAACTTTTATTAATTTCTTTTTATTTTGAGATAGATTCTTACTAAGTTGCTAAGTTGTTCAGGCTGGGGATGAACTCATGATTTCTCCTTCCTCAACCTCCTGTAGTGCTAACATTTTAGCCCTGTGCCACCACACTGGGCTTGAATCAAGCCTTAAAATTTCCAATTACTACAATGGATTTTCCACATGTAAAGATAAAGTTGGCTGTCAAAGAACTTCCAAAAATTGGCTTCAGTTCTGATTAGATTCTCATAACGTAGGATTGAGTTTCATAAAGAACAATAATGTTAAAATCAGGGAAGTCTGATACGAAACCCTAGTTCTATGAACTTTGTTTATAGGACCTTGCAAAGCTTATTTAATATCTGTGACCTTCCATATATTCACCCATAAAGCAAGAATGATAACTGTCATTCTATAAGATTAGTATAGAGATGAAATATGAATATGTATGTTAAATATCTGGTATATATTTGAAACTTTTAAGTTATTTATAATCTCCCCTTTCTCCTTATTGTTGCTTTATCTCTTAGTTTGCATCATTTAAAGATAAACATATCTTTCCCCAGGCCATTGTTCCTCCAATCTAAATATATCCAGTATATTTAGTGTTTTGTTCTCCACATTCTTGAGTAATAGTCTTTCTCTGTTCATGCTCTTTATAACTTGTCATTCCTTTCCCCCATTAGGTTAAGGATTATTAAAGGTATGAAAAAAGTGTGTGTGTTGGGAGGGTCTGTTTCTGTTTGTCTTCTTTGGAGACTAACTTTTCTCATTCTTGTACCTATAACAGGTATGAGCACCCACCAGTGTTAATCTTCTGCAAGGATATTAGAGACATAATGAGGAAAGCCAGAGTGTCACATTCATGTTTTTCATAAGGAAGCCATCTTTATCCAGAGCCCCAGGTACAGAATTAAAGAGAGCCTGAATAAATTAAGCCAAGACTTTGCTCAGCAAAGCACAGATGACTTGACCACTTATTTCCTATATAGGGGAATATTTCCCAAATATGGGAAATAAATGGCAGCCATTTTACATCACTAACTTTGTGAGATGGTCTGCTACACCACTCATCAGCAAAAATAATAAATGATTCATATTAGGAAAATACTCCATAGATTTTATACATTACAAAAGTAGCCATCCTTCTAATCAGCTTTGATGTATACACAGAATGTTTTAAGTTATATAATTTCTTCCAAAATTAAAAGTAAATTCCAGGTAAATTGATACACATTGAGACCATACACTTAAGTGAAATAAATCGGGCATGCGTGTGTAGATATCACATTCTTTCTCTGGTGCAAGGAACTGAAAATGTAAATAAATATGAAAATGTATAATAGGTATTGTGAAACAGGAAGAAAATATTCAGATGTGGAGAGGAACGAAGGAGAGGGAGGGGGAAAGGAGACAAGGGAAAAGTAAAAAAAAATAAGTGAGAAAAGTAGGAAAACAAAACAAAATTAAAGGTAAATTGACTTCTCTCTGTAGCTAAAGTGTAAAAATATCACAATTCCAGCGCCACGTGCAGGCTGCTGCCAACTTGCAGAGAGCCAGACGCAATCCTCTCTGTGAGTCGGCGCCATTCGCGGACTGCTAAGGGAGAGAGCCACGACCTACAGGGAGGAGATCCTCGCCGGAAACCATGTCATTTTCATTATTTTCTCTTTTGAATTGGGATTTATTGTCTTTTCTTTTGTTTATGCTATGTTTGTTTATGTTTATGTTAACTCTGCCGGCATGAGCAGCTACTTTAAAGATAGCAAGACATGTTGCAGAAGCCATTATTTGGCTTGATTTGATGTCCTTTATTGCATGCATTGTTTTGTTTTTATTGTTTATATTCTATTGTATTCTGTTCTTCAGACATTTAATATGTCCGAAGGTGGTATCTGCAGCTATTTTGAACACAACAAAGGCATTACTGTAACAATTGCTGATTTCAAAAGGTTTGGATATCCTGTATCAATTATTTTGGTTTATTTTGATTTCACTGTTTTATTTCTCTTGTTTTTTTTTTTTCCTCTTTAAAAATAATAAATAAATAAATGTAAAAATATCTTCAAAAGGGAAGAGATGAACAGAAGCTGATGTGGTCAAAAACATTTCACAAGTTAGGAAATATTTGAAAATCTTTTAATGATTGAAATTACTTTCCTCAGTGTTTTAAAAATTCAGTTGGTGTGCAGTAAATACTAACTTCGCTATTGGTGTTTTGTTTATATCTTCCAAACTAAGTGTAGGTATACACTAGGTTGAATGTAAAATACTAAATACTGATAATGTCCTGATAGTTTACTCTCTTCAGTCCTTCACTGTGATAAATTTTTAACACGTATATTCTGGGGCCTAAAGTTGGATTTTGAAAATACATAAAAAAAATAACAAATGTTTTGAAATAAAAAAGAGAAAAAATGAAGAATAGTGAATAAAAATGAAGATAGAAGAGAAAAGATATATAGAGTGATATCTTGTTTTATGATTTTTGTCTGGATGTCTCTCCAAAGCCTCATGCAATCATGGGGCACAGAATTTTTGGAGACAGCTGAATCCAGAACATGTAATTGATTCACTGTCCAGCGCTGGGACTTGAGGTGTGAGCACTACACCTGCCCTAGTAATTAGCCATGTTTGAAGTCTAGTGTCACATGGCCATGTGAGCAGATTATAGTATGAGGAAACATAACTCCACGTGCCTCCAGTCACAGTTGAGGCCTGGGCGGTCTCATGATGCTGTGACACACCAGGGAAAAATTATATCAGCTGAAGAAATCTCAGTCCCTTGAGAACTGAGTAGTTAAAAAAAAGCTTCACCCTGAGGAAAGTATAGACCTGTCATCTCTCTCCACCATCCTCTTCAGTGTAAGATCGTCATTATTTTAAGACTCATGACCCCACCCTCTGAGTCATCTGATAATCCCCTCACCATTTTACTCACTGTAAATGTGACCAATAAATATTGAGATTCTGGTTGCCCCTTGACGTTTATTTCCTTGTGAAAAACTGGCCATCCCAGATTTCCACTGCATCACCATTTTTTTCTCTTGCTCTTTCTTTTTGCAATGTGCCATAATACCTGTCAGTAGATAGGGGTCCACTTTAGGGATACCCAAAAGAATGTAATCATTATGTGTGTCTAAATGTTACCAATAAATTTAATGAGAAAAAATAATGGAAAATAAAATAACTGGTTCTGAGCTTCAAATATTACATTATTAAATTCATTTTTATTGGACTTTAACAAATTTTGCACTGTTTTCTTTCTTTAACTCTGTTGTGACTCTGTTCAGCTTTAGTGCTGGTTTCACTAATTTTCTTTGGAGCAATGGTTACGATATTGTATACAAATAAAGCACAATAAAGTATAATAACAAGTGTTTTAAAGCTCTAATACAGCACTATATGTTGTTTAGTGAGAATGGGGTGTAGACTGAAGCATCACCCCTTTGCCTCCCCATGATTTAATCTTGGGCAGGACAGGATTTTTAAAGTAGATTTTTGGTTCCACAGTAAAATTATGAACCCAGAGTACATTTTTTTCAAACTTTGCTATTGGAGTAGTGGAAAGTTCAAGACTGGAGCCATTCAACAACCGAGGAATCAGTGTATTTTAATTGGTGCTAACATATCTTTCACAATTAACAGGAAAATTATGAGACGCAATCAAAAATACAGTGAATGCTGCTACAGAGCATGATCCAACAGAAAGGCAGACTTGGAAAAACATTGCAGTGTCCTCTCTCTTATATCTTTATTCATTGGATCTGGCACTATGTGACTTCTGGATCTTCACCAAAGGCAAAATGACCAAGAAACATACATGGTTTCAGTCCATTCATAAGACCTTAAGCTGCCATGACAGTGAAACTAGATTCACAAAAAAAAAAAAAAAAAAAAGGATTTCTAGAACTGCTTCAGAACGTGGGAAGGATGATGGGATAAGTGTGTTTCAAGGGAGGCAGGGGATTTTGAGGAGGACACCTTGGCAATGTGTATTTTAAAAATTAAATATTTTTAATTTAAAAGTTCACCATATGTTTTGATTATACCTTGTAGAACTAAGACCTTTTTAGTATCCAATGGAAAGACATAAAGCTGAAAGAAGTCCACCAAACCCATAGCTTGTCAAATGTGGAACCATTCCTCTACAGAACATATAATTGAAATTCTCCCACTACACACACACACACACACACACACACACACACACACACACACACTTGTGTGTGGAAAATTTGATTGCTGAAAATATCAGAAGTAGTCTAAATTATACAATAAGACTGCCCAACAAAAATCTTTTCACTAGAAAAAGAGAAAAACAATCATGAGCAATAAAGATCCAGAAACCAGGAAAGTGACTGTAGAAACTAAAAATTTGATGGTTCACAGAAAGAGAAAGACTAGTATCATGGAAGAAAAAGTAAATTTGAACAAGGCTTCTAAGTATGTGCAAATATGTGTGTATGAAAGAGAAAAATAGAATATGCCCAGAGAATGATAAAATACAATATGCCAAAAATAGAATTAAATATGGAGTTTAAACTATAAGTATAAATAAATTATTTTAATAATTTTTATAGAATGAATAATATGAAATTTTAAGATTTAAGAAATATCAACAAATTTCCAAACAAAAGAGAAAGAAAGAGAGGGAGAGAGTCCACCTCTGTGTAAATTGTGAACTTTAGAACATCAAGGATATGCAGAAGTTATTGAAATTTTTAAGTTTCTGGAAAGAAAAACTGACTTCTTACAAAGAAACGTAACTCAGACTGAAACCATACTCACCCAATAGTTTTGGATCCCAGAACTACATGTTTTCTGTAAGGTTTTCACTGATTTTAGGAAAAAAAGAAAATATTTTTTACCTAAATTCGAAAACCAGCCAAAGTGTCAATCAGGGGTAAAATTAAAGCCACGTTTAGATGCTCAGTGATTCCGAAACGCTTACCTTCCATGTGCTCTTTGTTACTTGGCTCAGGTACTTGGCAGTAATAAAACCTGAGGGAGAAACTACCCTAGAGTGGATTATTTTTACTCTGCCTTCTAACTCTGCACTAAGCTGGTCCTTTTAGATTTATGAAAAAATATCCCCAAACTTCCATGTGGATTCATGCACATAGATGATTTTATTCATCTGACTTAGGAACCCCTAACATGAACAGAAGAAATGTACTTCACAAAGGAATTCCTGGTCAAAACAAGATGGTGTCAACATTTAACTTAACAAACCATTGTTCACAGTACTTGTGAAACTGTGTCAGCCATGATCAAGAGAGTTCCAAGTATCTATTCTGGGTTCATTAGAGCAGTCTCAGCAGGACTACTGCTTACGCACAGGTTTGTTCCATGGGGTTCTCATTACCACCCCTCTTGAAAGTCAACCTGTGGTGCCCTTTCTAACATTCTCTTTGTTAACGGCTCCAGGCCAACCCTCACAATTATTTTGAATTGGTAGAATTCTGGTCCTTTTATTGCTTGAGAGTTTTATTAATTTTTTTATTCATTATGAAAAAGAATGTAACTGCATATATCCTGGGAGTAAAAAAATTCAAGGAAATAATCTCATCTAAGTTATTTCTGATGTCAAATCATGCAATCCAGAAGTCAGGCTATCGTAAACCATAAAAAGAATAAGCTTTATTAAAAGCTACCCAAAGTTACAGGAAATTGCAATTAGGCGGGTGTATTACTAGACATTTCATAAGACATTTCCATGAGATGTAAAGGCAGATTTCCGGTGTTTTTTATGACTCAAGTACAGTCTGAATACACTATATCTTAGTTAACAGATTTAATGTTAAAATATGTTAATAATAAATGTTATTAAAGTATGTCCAGACTGTTTTCACAGAAAATGGTGAAGCAAAGCAGAGGCGAGCAAAATCATTTGTCTGCTTTC